TTCGTAGGATATTGTTCGAAATTGAAGTAATTTTTGAAATATTTGAAGACGCTGTTGATCAAATTTCAAAGAGTGCCTGTCAATTGATGATGAACATGGTTCAAATATAGCTTTATCTGGTGTAAATACTACATATGTACGATAGAGAAGAATACATAAAAATATTGAAAATACAGTTAAAATTGTATTCCAAAACATATCTTCAATAAAAAAAAAAAGCATATATAAACAGTTTTTGTCAGATGATCAAGACTTATTGCTATAATAAATCGCATACGGAGTTGATACACGAGTTCAACGTCTGAGAAAAAATAATATTGAAATTTTTTTACAGCAAAATGTAAAGTGAATACTATTTGACGTATGGTATTATGTTGTATTATTATTTGAATAAGAGCTAAGGGTCAAATAGATTCATCAAAATATAGAATTCTTGACTTCTAGAGTCCTACGAAAAAGAAAACACTTTTATCTACAGTCCTTTGGTCTCAAATTCAGATTAAGGGAGGAATTGTTTGATGACCTCTCCTTACAACGATTTCTCATTGTTTAATCACCATACTTAGGGGTTCGATAGAGGACACTATAAGATATATAATGATATAATATGAGTAACAGGATCAGTGAATTGAATGTATAAAAACGTTAAAAGAAAATGTGTGAGAAAAAAACTGTGACATAATTTTTTCAAATTTTTAAGTTTATATATTTTATATAGATATCAACTGATGTATACAAAACAGTAACATTTTAAATGCCTCTTAAGTATTATAATCACTAAGCTCCATAGTCCTATTTATGATGTTTGTACCTGATGAAAATTATTCAATGTTATCATCTATTTCGATATTGATATCATCAGCTTCATCTTCATAAGCTCCTTCATAATTCTTCACATTCTTTAGATTATTTATAGATCCTTCTAAGAGGGGATCGTCGTCAATAAGCATATCACAATATTTATGAGCATACGCAATCATATTTCTGACCATTTCTGTCGATATTCGCTCATGTTCACCACCATCAGGGTCAATGTCCATTTAGATTATAATTAAATAATTAATAACAATTAATTAAATCGCTATTGGCAAATGATAGCTGCCGTGTATAAGTAAATATATAATCAATAGAAATGTCAGAAACACGTAA